ATTGCTATGTATAGGCATGTATTGCCATGTACTACCATGTACTGTCATGTATTGCTATGTATAGCCATGTATTACCATGTACGGCCATGTGTAGCCATGTATTACCATTTATTGCCATTTATTACCAGATATTGCCATGTATAGCCATGTTTAGCCATGTTTTGCCATGTATAGCCATGTATGGCCATGTGAGGCCATGTATAGCCTTGTATAGCCATGTATTACCATGTATACCCATGTACAACCATGTAATGCCATGTATTACCATCTATTGCCATGTACTGCCATATATATCCATGTATTTCCATGTATCGCCATGTATTACCATGTACTGCCATGTATTGCCATGTATAGCCATGTATTACCATGTACTGCCATGTATAGCCATGTATTATCATGTATAGCCATGTATTATCATGTATAGCCATGTATTACCATGTATAGCCATATATTGCCATGTATTACCATATATTGCCATGTGTAGCTATGTAATGCGATGTATAGCATGTATAGCCATATATTGCCATGTATCACTATGTATTACCAGGTATAACCGTGTATTACCATGTATTGCCATGTATTACCATGCATTGCCATGTATAGCCATGTAATGCCATGTATAGCCATGTATAGCCATGTATAGCCATGTATTGCCATGTATCACTATGTATTACCATGTAAAGCCATGTGTAGCCATTTGATGCCATGTACAGCCATGTACTGCTATGTGTCGCCATATATTGCCATGAATTGCCATGTATAGCCATGTACTGCCATGTCTCACTATGTATACCCATGTATACCCATGTATAGCCATGCATTGCTATGTATAGGCATGTATTGCCATGTACTACCATGTACTGTCATGTATTGCTATGTATAGCCATGTATTACCATGTACGGCCATGTGTAGCCATGTATTACCATTTATTGCCATTTATTACCAGATATTGCCATGTATAGCCATGTTTAGCCATGTTTAGCCATGTTTTGCCATGTATAGCCATGTATGGCCATGTGAGGCCATGTATAGCCATGTATAGCCATGTATTGCCATGTGTCCCCATGTGATGTCTGTATAGCCATTTACTGCTATGTATCGCCATATATTGCCATGAATTGCCATGTATAGCCATACATAGCCATGTAATGCCACCTATAGCCATATACTGCCATATATCACTATAAATTACCATGTATACCCATGTATAGCCATGTAATGCCTTGTATAGCCATGTATTGCCATGTATTACCATGTATAGGCATGTATTTCTATGTATTGCCATGTACTACCATGTACTGTCAGGTATTGCCATGTAGAGCCATGTATTACCATGTACGGCCATGTATAGCCATGTATTGCCATTTATTACCATATATTGCCATGTACAGCCATGTAATGCCATGTATAGCAATGTACTGCCATTTATCGCCATGGATTACCATGTATTGCCATTTATTACCAGGTATTGCCATTTATAGCCATGTAATGGCATGTGTTGCCATGTATTACTATGTATTACCATGTATAGCCATGTACTTCCATGTATAGCCATGTATTGCCATGTACTGCCATGTACTGCCATGTATAGCCATGTATTACCATGTATTGCCATTTATTACCATGTAATGCCATGTATAGCGATGTATTGCCATGTATCACTATGTATTATCATATAGAACCATGTATAGCCATGTGATCCCATGTAAAGCCATGTGTAGCAATGTACTGCCATTTATCGCCATGTATTACCATGTATAGCCATGTAATGCCATGTGTTGCCATGTATTACCACGTATTACCATGTATAGCCATGTATTACTATGTATTACCCTCTATAGCCATGTATTGCCATATATAGCCATGTATTGCCATGTATTACCATTTATTACCATGTGGTTCATGTGATCATCCTCAATGGCGTAGTGACTATGTGAGGTCAGGTCAACCTGAAGGTACCGAGTTCAAATCCTGCTAAGGACCTTCTTTTTCCCTTCTTCCTTTTTTTTTCTTTTTTGTTTTGTTTGCTTATTTGTTTTGCTGTTTTTGTTTTTAAATATATACCTAAATAACTGTTAATAAAGTGCAGCAAGAAAAGTATTGTGTTTCGAGAACAAGGATAGTACATTTATAATCTGCATTTCTATCATTTCCTAAAATTTACTGTTGGAAAACCAGAGGTGATAACTAATTGATTATTTTCTAAACAACGTACCCTCGGGTTGACGATAGTCTTTCTTTGATTTTTATTGTTCGAGACATACAGAATGACTACTACCAACATCTCACCAGGTGACTAATCTAGGTCTCGTGTGCTCTTAATTTTGTAGCTTTATAATGCTGGGAAAATTGTAGAACATACATTAACTCACTGCTGAACTGAACATAGGCTTTCGCGCACTTCGAACCCACTCGCTGAAATTCGCTGTTTTTTTTAAATATTTCTCTTCCTTTCCCATTTCAAAACAAAGAAAATTAAAAGTGTTTACTTGCATCAACAAACGTTTCTGCACTTTGTTTAGACTTTGATGAGGTCAGCGCAATCCTCCAGGCACTACATATACCCGCCGTGTTGTCCAGGTCAAGTGGGGAGATGAAATTTGATAGTAGCTCGTGTATGTTTAAAGCCAATCTACTTCGCTTTTGGTAAGACAATGTTAGAGTTTTTTTTGCAAACTACACATTTTGTTAAATTACAAGCACATTCGCCAAGACCAACCAGCAAAATAATCGCTATGATAGCTTTGAGACGCGCCATTTTGATGAAGGCAAACCCTGTGGTGAGCCTCCATGCACATCACTTGTTCAGCGGTCGCACATGCTCATGCAAAAAAGACCCCTGTTCTTTAAAGCTACCAAATGGTTGAGAATATAGTTCCATGATGAGGGCACAATCTTGAAAATCCTGAATTGTACACTCATGGAATTTAGATCTTATATTACTGATCTTTTCAATGAAGAAATTAGCCATCTCATTTACCATGTATAGCCATGTGTAGCCATGTGATGCCATGTATAGTGATTTTCTGTGATGCATCACTATATATTACCATCAATTGCGATCTATACCCATGTAATGCCATGTATAGCCATGTACTGCCATGTATCACTATGTATTACCATGTATACCCATGTATTGCGATGTAATACTATGTATAGCCATGTATAGCCATGTACTGCCATCTATCGCCATGTATTACCATGTATTGCCATGTATAGTCATATATTGCCATGTACTGCCATGTACAGCCATGTATAGCCATGTATAGCCATGTATTGCTATGTACTGCCATATATAGCCACGTATCACCATGTATTGCCATTCATTACCATGTATAGCCATGTAATGCCATGTATAGCCACGTATTGCCATGTATCACTATGTATTATCATGTATAGCCATGTACTGCCCTTTTTTGCCATGTATTTCCATGTATAGCCATGTATTGCCATATATAGCCATGTATTACCAGGTATTGCCATGTATTACCATGTATAGCCACGTATTGCCATGTATCGCCATGTATTACCATGTATAGCCATATGCTGCTATGTATAGCCATGTATTGCCATGTATTACTATGTATTGCCATGTATAGCCATGTAATGCTATGTATGGTCTTGTATTGCCATATATTGCCATGTATTACTATGTATTACCATGTATTGCCATGTATTACCACGTATTACCATATACGGCCATGTATTACCATGGCCTGCCATTTAGAGCCATGTTGTATAGCCATGTATTACCATGTATTGCCATGTATAGCCACGTATTGCCATGTATCGCCATGTATTACCATGTATAGCCATATACTGCCACGTATAGCCATGTATTGCCATGTATTACTATGTATTACCTTGTATTACCATGTATTTCCATGGATAGCCATGTATCGCCATGTATTACCATGTATAGCCATATACTGCCATGTATTACCATGTATTACCATGTATTACCATGTATTACCATGTATAGCCATGTAATGCCATGCATGGCCTTGTATTGCCATATATTGCCATGTATTACTATGTATTACCATGTATTGCCATGTATTACCATGTATTACCATGTCCTGCCATTTAGAGCCATGTACTGCCATGTATAGCCACGTATTACCATGTATAGCCATATACTGCCGTGTATAGCCATGTATGGCCTTGTATTGCCATGTATTACTAAGTATTACCATGTATTGCCATGTATTATTATGTATTACCATGTATTACCGTATACAGCCATGTTTTACATGTCCTGCCATTTAGAGCCATGTTTTGCCATGTATAGCCATGTATTACCATGTACCGCCATGTATTACCATGTATTACTATGTATTATCATGTATTGCCATGTAAAGCCATGTAATGCCATGTATAGCCATGTATTACCATATACTGCCATATATAGCCATGTATTACTATGTATTGCCAGATATTACCATGTATTACCGCGCACTGACATGTATTATAATGTATTGCTATGTATTGCCAGTTTCAGATTTCAGATTTATCTCTGTAATCTCGCATACCGTGAATTCAAATGGGAGTCATTGATGAAATTTTTGCCAGCTCAGTTGTCCTGTAAATTTGCATAACCCTTACGGGGCTCTGTACCATACGATAGTGCTTTAAATAGTTCTACAATGTAGATTTATTATTATTATTCTTACATTTTAAAACCGTGCTTTTTTTAGATATTAAACCTTCATTTTTGTTTAAAATCAAACGTACTCCTGAGTTATACCTGTTATGCGTTTTATCAACTGAGACACTATCTATCTGTCTTTGATATTAAGAGGCTATTCTAAAAAATGCTGAAAGACGGCTTAATTGCCTGAAGATTTCATTCTCTTTCAAATAAACCTTACAAAATTTATTTTATTGGAAGTTCGCAACACACTTTTAAACCATGCCTTGAATCCCTGTCGTATTCATAAGTGAATCGTGCAAAGAATGTTTGTCTTTCAAATGAGACAATTTTCTAACTATGCATGAT